AGAACCCCTTGTGACCATTCCGTTGAAAAATATGGCTAAAAACATCAAAATACGGAATATCGGGGGTACCGTTATATACAATATCTATACAATATCGTGGATCTATATAGATAATTCTCTGCCGAGGTATAAAGTACCCACAAGGAACTCCTTGTGTGGATTTTCCGACAATTCCGATGAAAAATGTGGGTCAAATCATAAAATACCGAATATCGGGAGGTACCGTTATATGGGGGATATACGATATCGTGGACCTGTATAGATAATTCTCTCTCAGGGGGTGAAGTACTCACAAGGAACTACTTGTGTTGATTTTAAGACAATTCCATTGAAAAGCGTGGCTAACATCATCAAAATACCGAATATCGGAGGTTACAGTTATATGGGGGATATACGATATCGTGGACCTATATAGACACTTCATTTTGAGGAGGTAAAATGCCCACAAGGAACACCTTGTGTGGATTTTCAGACAATTCCGTTGAAAATGTGGGTAAAATCATCAAAATACCGAATATCGGGGGGTACCGTTATATGGGGGCTATACGATATTGTGGACCTATATAAATAATTCTCTGTCGAGGTAAAAGGTACCCACAAGGAACTCCTTGTGTGGATTTTCAGACAATTCCGTTGAAAAATGTGAGTAAAATCATCAAAATACCGAATATCGGGGGTACCGTTATATGGGGGCTATACGATATCGTGGACCGATATAGCCCATCTTCGAACTTGACCTGCCTGCAGACAAAAGAGAGATCTGTGCAAAATTTTAGCTTCCTATCTTAATTCGTTTAGACTGTAGCGTGATTACAACAGACGGACAGACGGACGGACAGGGCTAAATCGTCTTAGAATTTTACGCTGATCAAGAATATATATACTTTGTTGGGTCTAAAATGATTATTTCGATGAGTTACAAACGGAATGACAAAGTTAATATACCCTCCATACCTTTTTTGGTGGAGGGTATAAAAATATATTTATTTAAAATTTTAGAGCGTTACCCAAAAATTCGACGTACTTAGTCCAAGCTTTTCCACCACCAAAATAAAACACATGTATTTATATGAAAGTTACCCAAATATGTCGGATGTACGAAATTTCAAAATTGAACAATTTCAAAACTGATCATTTGGATCATACCGACGTACAAAAAATTTTAACATATTTGTGTGGGCTCGATATAACGCAACAGCTAGGAAGGCATTTTCACTACTTGAGACTACTGGATACTAATGGGAAAAACGTCTATTAAAGTCTTGCACGTTATGTTCTTGTTTCGATCTGCTGTTTTTATAGTTAGCTGCTCAGCTTAAAGCTAATTTAAGCGTTTTTAAAATAACTTTTTATACCCTCCACCATACATAGTATGGAGGGTATATTAAGTTCGTCATTTCGTTTGTAACTCATCGAAATAATCATTTTAGACATAACAAAGTCTATATATTCTTGATCAGCGTAAAATTCTAAGACGATTTAGTGCTGCCCGTCCGTCCGTTATAATCACGCTAGAGTCAAAACGAATAAAGATAGAAGTTAAATTTTGCACAGACCAGTCTTTTGTGTGCAGACAGGTCAAGTTCGACGATGGGCTGTATCGGTCCACGATATTGTATAGCCCTCATACAACCGAACCCCCGATATTCGGTATTGTCATGATTTTATCCACAAGGAGCTCTATGCAAGTACTTTAATCCCTGAAAGAGAATTTTCTATATAGGTCCACAATATCGTGTAGCCCCCATACAACGGTATCTCCCGATATTCGGTATTTTGATGATTTTAGCCACATTTTCAATGAAATTGTATGAAAATAAACGCAAGTAGTTCCCATTGTTAACTTTTATCCTCTGGAAGAAAATTGTATGTATAGGTCCACGATTTGGTATAGCCCCCATACAACGGTACCTCCCGATATTGGGTATTTGGATAATTTTAGCGACATTATTCACCGGAATTGTTTCAAATTTGGTGTTTAAGGTTCGTAATGGGAACTACAGTCTATGAGAGAAAATTGTTTATGCAGGTCCAGGCCTTCGTACAAGCCCCATATATCACTACCTCAGTATATTCGGTATGTTGATGATTTTAGCTACTTTATTCACCGAAATTTTTCATGTTTCGTATTTCAATATTATAACGGCTTATGACAAAAGTTGTCTATGCAGATCCACGTCTTCGTAAGACCCCAATATAACGGCTATATTCGGTATTTTTAAGATTTTAACAAAATTTTATTTTATATGAATATAGGTATGTGAAAATGTTATATTTTAAGATTGTCAAAGTTTATGCACAATTGGATGTTGTTAACAGGTGCCTCTGGGTTCTTAAAGTTTTTTTTTTTTTCTACCATAGTATGGAGGGTATATTAACTTTGTCATTCCGTTTGTAACACCTCGAAATATACATTTCAGACCCCACAAAGTATATATATTCTTGATCAGCATAAAATTCTATGTCGATTTAGCGATGTTCGTCCATCTATCCGTCTGTGGAAATCACTCTAGCTTCCGAACGAATTGAAATAGATTGATAAAATTTTACTCAAATGTATATTATGCCTGCAGGACTTTTGGTACTGAAAATGGGCCATGTAGGTCCACGTTATGGATTTTTTTTGTAAGTTCCGCATTTAAATATTTTAATGGCTTATGACAAAAGTTACCTATGCAGGTCCATGTCGTCGTATAGACCCTAATGTAACACCTACATTCGGTATTTTTAAGATTTTAACAGAATTTTAACGGATTTCATTGTTTTTGAGAATTGCCAAATTCGTTCCAAACGGTGGAGGGTATTCAAAGTTCGGCCCGGCCGAACTCACAGCTTTTTTACTTGTTTTATACTAACAATTTCTTATGTTATACCAATAATGTGGGGTTCGCCTTAAAGTATGCATTAAAAAGTTGAAGACTAATGAGAACATGACACTAACAAAAAGTGTAAACTAGATTCAAACTATGAAAGAATCGCCAAGGTAATACGATACAATTTTTTATTTGATGTTCCTTCATTGTCAAATTTATATTTTGTAGTTCTTAGCTTTTGTCCAGAAAGAATATAAAAAGTCGGTAAAGGCTAGATTCCACATCGTGTTAGTGTCATATGTAAAGTGATTTTTTAACATTTTAAGTAGAAATTTAAGTGCGCCCAACAACAAACTTAAACTTATTCCTTATTCCTTTATGTTTCCTTTCAGGAGACAAATTATTAGAATCGCCTTAAAGTATGTAATAAAAATGGTTAACAGAAATGTAGCAAAATTAGCTTTAGATAGGATTGTAACATTATGTGTAGCCTTATTGAGTTTTGATTAACATTTTGTGCAGGAAGGACAAGCATATTTCGTCTTGTTTTGCTATAATATTTGTAGAATATCTCGCATTTTCAGTTTTTTAGTACAAAATTCGAATAACAGATATTGTGAAGTTTTTGGCAAAAAACATTTAGCCTGTTATTCTGGGATTTTTAACCCATAAAGACTGAAAATTATCAAAATACCGAATATCTTAAGCTACCGATATATGGGCGCTATACCAAAACGTGGATCTATACACACAAGCTAGAACCAATTATGACCTACAAATACCGATTTGCAAAATCCGTGAAAAAATGTGACCAAAAACAAAAAAAAATCCGAATATCGGGAGGTACCGTTATATGGGAACTATGCCAAAACGTAGACCGATATATCTCATTTTCAATACCAACCATCCTCGACACAATACAAATTGTTCTGCTAAATTTTGACGCTCTACGTCAAATAATGTGGTCTGTAGGACAGACAGACGGACATCGTTATATACGATGAATATTTAGGGATGTTACAAACGGAATGACAAAGTTAATATACCATTCCTTTCCAATATGGAGGGTATAATAATGGATTATTCATTATTTTTGTAAAATATGACGAGTGGCAGACGTAAATATTTATTTGGAGTTTTTAGGAAAAGGGTTGCCATATTCGATTAGCCAATTAGTCTACCTCGACTGTTTTGCCATGTCTCGAACAATTCTCTTTTACTTTTTTCTCTATTGTTGTTCGACAAAGAAAAAACATGTTTTTATCTTCCTGAATAAGTCTTGCTTGAAAAGTAAAAAAACATTTCTATCGCTACAAGGTTTATTTTATGTACCAGGTTGAAAAATAAAAAAAAATAAGTACGGAGATCCAAATACCTAACAAACATTGAAATAATTCGAAATTTATGAGTATTTTAAAACGTAGCATTTTTGCTGCTACGTCTTAACTAATAATTTCATAACATTTTTTGCTCTCATTGGAGTAAAAACGTTAACGAACTGATCTTGTGTAGGCTATAAATATTACTATTTACCCAGAGAAACTTTTCCCAGATTACTAATTTTCTCATCGCCAATGTGCTGTTGCTACAGATCCTTAAAATTTTTCCTCGTTTTTATTTCCACATTTTAAAAATTGAATTTAATCATTTATTTCAATTTTTAGTGTATTTGTTCAATTGTGTTTATGTAAGCATGTAAACATTAACCAAACTCTTAATCTCAGAATGTTTCAATTAATGTCACAATAGTGCCGGCAATCTTTTATTGTCTACATATCTGTACTTCTTCTATGTTTGTTGGAAAGCCGAACAAAATATTTTATCGTCCAAAAAAAAAAAAAAAATAACGGGAACTTATCAAAATTTCAAAATGAGGTCGTTTACATATTTAGCTACTTTAAATGTCTACATATATGCATAGGTATATACACGAATCTGCTATTGAAAGCTCTTTGAAATTTTGATAAGTATTCAATTGTTTGACAATTCGGTATTTAGGGGACTTGGTTATCATCAGTACAAATCAAGTAATATTCCACCCCATTTTGAAATAATGCGCTTTACTCATGGCAATATCCCCCCAACTATTTGCCTCCACCCCTCTCACAAGCAATTCCTCATTACTGATTAAACAAATGAAACAAAACACAATAATAATATTCTCATTCTCTTTTTGATTTTTTCCAGCATGAGTAGCAGTACCGCAACCTATGACAATAACTCTGACATCGGCAACGTCGACGACAACATGGCAGAAGCCACAGATGGGTAAGTCCGGTAGCTGCTTAAATTATGAGGGATTAATTCTCAAGTCATTATTTTGTTAAGGTTTCTATCCTCGTGCCACGATCGTGCCATAGGTTATCTATACAAAATAACACACAAATATAAAATATTTCCGAATAACGGCTTTCTTAGGGTTATAATGATATATGTATGTACGTCATCATGACCAACAAATGAATAAATGTATGAATGTTTACCCCATATGCAAACGGGAGTTTTCGAATTAATCATTCGAGGAATATTACTTTTAGCATATTTGCCCATGAGGGTAGCCATTCGTCACAAGCTTCACATACGTTCGTTTACGGATAAAAATGGAGACTAATTCTCCATTTTCTCAGAATTTCTTGTTGAATATTTAGCTTCTTTTGCAGAGCTTAGAACAATTTCCAAAAAAAAAAAGACATTCTAAAACGGTGCAAGGCAGAGAATGTCACAACTTGCTCGCGCGCAGGATTGCTCGAAAAGTGGGAGTTTTTTACGGATTATACTTTTCTCTCTTTTGTTTTGTGGGGCAGAACTCCCAAGCTGCTCCTGTTTAAAACTAGTCTCCACGATATCGAACGAATTTCGCTCCAACTCAAAAACGAGGATAGCAAGATTATCATATGTCACATATTATATCGTAGCTCTGGGAGTGATGGGTGAATGGACGAACAAAACAAAAATTTACACATTCCCGTCCACACGATCAAATGGTCGTACAATTCTAGAAACAGTTAAAAAAAACAGTAAAGATAGTCCTAAAGTCGGGCGGGCCCGATTTTATGATACCCTACACCACTTTGCTAATTTAGTTGAGCTCCACTTAATAATTAAAAGTTTTTATGGGAGAATTCAATCATACACGCTATGATTATAATTTAAAATTCAAAGGACTAAATATGCCGAAGCATTTGTATCTTTTAAATTCGGACTTGTATTGCCCATTTGGTGAAAATTTCATTTGAAATCAGATAAAGATATATATGGGAGCTATATCCAAATCTGAACCGATCTCGATAAAATTTGGCAAAGATATTTCTGAGCTGTATTTGATATATTTCCCTAAATATCGTTGTTACGGAGTGCATATTACGGCTGTGGGTAACAAATCGGATGAACAATATATCTATATCTGAACCGATCTTCACTAAATTTGGCATGCTACCTTCTAGACTCAATTCGGTCGTATGTGCCAAATTCCATCCCATTTGGACAAATATTAGACGTTTGGTGCACTATAAAAGGTAATTCGGACGAAGTTATATATGGGAGCTATATTTGATATATTTCTCCAAATATTGTTGTTACAGAGTGCATATTACGGCTCCGGAGGACAAAAATAACAAATCGGATGAACAATATATATGGGAGCTATAGCTATACCTGAACCGATTTCGATCACATTTGCATACTTATTTTCACGCCTAATTTGGTTGTATGTGCAAAATTCCACACTATTCGGGCTGATATTACACGTTTGGTGCACAATAAAAGGCAAATCGGACGAAGATATATATGAGAGCTATATCTAAATTTGTACCGATTATCTCCAATTTCAATAGGGTTCGTCCTTGGGCCAAACAAATATTGGTTGGAAAATTTCATCTCAATCGGATAATAAATTCGACCTGCATTTTGTTCACAAGAATACATGGACAGACGGACGGACGGACAGACGGACTGACATGCATAAATCAAATCAGAAAAGGATTCTATGGAGATCCTCAAAAGTAACTATGGGTCTATCTCGCTTCCTTATCCATGTTACAAACAAATGCACAAAGACATAATACCCTTACCACTATGTGGTGTAGGGTATAAATATCACTCGCCAGTTATTTAAATTGCCTTATTAAAATATTGGGGAAATATGGAGAAGAGAATAGAATGTTTATTTTGCATTTTACGAGACCCGTTTGACCCGATGTCGGGGAGGAACCCGTAGGAGTGGTCCGATATATACCATCTTCACACGACTTTTTGTTTTAGCAGATGTATTGGGATGTGTGAAATTTAAGGGCAATCGGATGCTTATTTCCCAGTATGAGAGCAATAATTATTCAACATTTTGAACTTTTGTGGGGGAGGTACATGATGGAGTGACCCGATATTATCCACTTTAGCAGCATTTGAAACAAATGTTAGGGTTTGCAAAGTTTGAATGGTCCCAAAATGTTTTTTCTGAAAAAATTGTTACCATTGTGGGGTAGGTACCAGAAGGAGTGGAACGATATTGCCCACATCCGAACTCGATCTAAGTTTGATAATAAAACTACGGTGTACCAAGTGTGGATCAAATCGGATACTCCTTCGTAGGCACCAGCCAGCCACACAGGCAGACAAATGGACGGACGGACACCCCTAAATAGGCTCCGAAGAGACCCAGGGTCCAAAATCGTTATTTCGGTAAGGCAGGTATTGGCCTATCAAATGATATATACCCTCTGTAGCTGAGGGTATCAAAAAGCTTAAAATTTGTGTCCATCTGTATCAATAAAATTACTCGTGATATGGAAAACTATTAAAATTTATTGGAAATGTTAACATTTTCTAAAAAAGAAGACAATTAGAAGTATAAATCCTTTGGTTAAAATTCCTTTGGTTAAATTAAAAACAAGGAAACAAAAAATGAGAATTTGTGAATCATGTTACTGTGAATGACGAATGGCGTCGTGTGAACGGGTTGATTCGTGTACGTTGCTCGAATTCATGCTATCACATCCACGAAATACCTTAACTGATTTGATAAACTTGTCAAATATTCAAGGAATTTAAAGATATAGAAGATGGCATTGTGAAAAATGATATTGAGAGAAGAATCAGTCAATTCATCACAGGTGGGACCCTGTTACAGTTTAATTTGACATGGTAATATAGGACCGTACCTAATACCCGATGTGACGTACAAAAATACTCACCATCCAGTGGTAAAAATTTCGCTGCAACTACTGCTGCTGAGAAAATAGGCTCTTCCAGGTACAAATAATACCTAAAGTTATATGTAACACTCGGATATGTTCCATGTTCCAAGTGTACTAACCTCGTCGTATTCCCACTTCCATACATGACATTTCACTTGGCTGTATACATAACGGACTAGTGAAATCAAGTTGTCAACTTTAAAATACAAAGACATTGTTTATGATCGCGCAATATGACAGATAGCTCAAAGGAATGCGATCTACTCACTAAAGAGTACCATCAAATGAATGAATTTCTTTAATGATCGCAACCAATGCTACCAAAGACACTTGGGTCATTCTGCCATGAACCATGATTTCACAGCGCATCAATGCAAAATAAAAGCAAACAAATATTAAATTCGTTAAAATGTTCAAAGGCAGCTCTTTGAGTTCTTAACACAACATAGCCCGCTGGTGGTTTGATCGACCATCGGCAACATGAAACCCCCCTCTGTTATTATCTTGGGAAGTACGACTGACAGTAATAACATTTCGTTTTATTTCTTTACAGATTTTCATCTTCGATGCTGACATTCGCCGCCATTATGACGTTGCTAATAATGATCATTGGGATATTTGGCAATTTTCTAACAGTAGCCGCCTTAATCAAGTGTCCGAAAGTTCGAAATGTAGCTGCGGCTTTTATAATGAGGTAAAACATATTCCAATACATTTATTCAATTTTCAGAACATTAAATTTCTTTATCTATTTTACGGGCTTTTTATCAAGTATTTTAAACAAAATTCTCTTCGAGCCTGAAGTCAATATTTGCTCAGTTCCAGGACGACGGGAATATAAAAGTGTTTATTACGACAACCGATTTTTCATTTATGATTTCTTCAAAATTGTAAAAAATTTAGATTCTTACAGGTTCTGAAAAGATAAAGCCATTGTTTTTTTATGATATTTAACCCAACATTTGACGATTTTCAATCTGCATCTTCAGGGTTGACCTACGAGAATAATAAGTCTACAATTTATATTAAAATATCACAGCATTATACGGAACAAGTAAAAGTTGCCATTACACCAAGTTAGCAAGGAAATCGGGTTAGATACAACAGTACCTCCAATTAATATACTTCATATGATTTGATATGCTTTCCAGAACAATGGATTTCGGTACAAGATATCAGATATAGCCTAGAAATCACTTTGTCAAATTTTGTCGATCAGATGTATATACAGGGTGGGATAAAAAACTGCAACAAAGTCAAATGCCATAACTCTTACATTTTTTTTTAATTTTATTGAATGAAAGCAAAAAAATGTTGGAAATAGCATTATCTTTTAGAATAAGAATTTTAGAATAAATTCAGAATAAGATTTGTTCCAATTGGTTACCTTTGGCACGAATTATGACCTTCAAACGGCCAATGAAACCTTCACACGCTGCCCCAATGTTGCTCTGCGGTATTTTGGCTCATTCCCAGCGAAGCGCTTGCTTGAGGTGATTGGTCCTTTTTAGTGCCAACCTTGCTTTCTAAATCACTCCAGACTCAATAGTCCAACGGATTGGTATCCGGAGATTTTGGTGGCCATTGTGCGCTGGAAATGAAGCTAGGAACCTCATTTTGTAACCATTCTTGGGTGGCGCGTGCTGAGTCCAGTTGGAATGTCCAAGGTCTGCGGCCAAAATGTTTGCGTGCCCATACACCCTCCAGAATATTATCGCGATAATATTCGGCATTTATTTGGACGCCACGGTCGATTAATACGAGCGGAAAGCTACCATCGTGGGCTTTTATGGCGGCCCACACCATCACCATGGCCGGCGCTTGAGTTCTGGTGACCAACCGAAGGTGCACATTTTCAGCTGACCTCTTTGGCAAGTAAACACGATCATTTTGTTTGTTTACAAACTGCTGGACAACGAATGTTTTCTCATCGGAGAAACCCAAATTCGGCAGTTCACCACTTTCGGCCAAGCGAAGCAACTCTTTAGCACTTTTTGGAATTTCAATGGCTTACAATGGCTATCCCGAGCTCATTTTTCATTTTTTGCCGAATGGAATATTGCGATATACTCAGCTCACGAGCCATTTTTCGGCCACTGCGACGCGGGTTTCGATCAAGTCGCTTCTTTTCTTTTCGAGCCATATCTGCTGATGTTGCTGTTTTCTTCATGTGGTGTCCGTTGGAATTGCAATTTTCGAATTTCGGTTTGTGCCCATTTGTGCCGTTACAATTTTTTCGATATCTCTTACCAATTCCGAAAAAAACGACAATTTCGAAAGTATGTCAGTATTGCAATTTTCGAATTTCTAAAAAAAATTAAAGTTGTGCTGGGTCCTGCTTGATTTGTGCTAACTTGTGCCGTTTGTTTTTTCTCAATATCTCAAACCGTTTTCAAGATATGCAAATTCCGAAAAAACCAGTATTTTTCAGAAAAATTGCTGTAATTTTTGTAAAAATTCAAATATCGAGATGCGATAAATTGTGCTGAGTTTTGCTCACTTAGCACACTCGTTACTCGTTAAAATCGTAAAAATCACGAAAAATTGTGCTAAGTGAGCACAACTCAGCACAATTTACCGCATCTCGATATTTGAATTTTTACAACAATTACAGCAATTTTTCGTTATATGTATTTTTTTCCAATTTTAACTAGTAACGAGTGGAAATACAAATTTTCAATGTATGGACGAAAAATTGTGCTAGGTTAGCACAAATCAGCACAACTTTTAGTTTTTCGATATCTCGTTTCTAAATATGCGATTTTGATTTTTACGATTTTAACGAGTAACGAGTAGAGATACAAATTTCCAATGTATGGACGAAAAATTGTGCTAGGTGAGCACAACTTGCAGATTTCAAAAATTCCCCATATTACAAAAGTTATTCATTTTTTTAATTTTTAGCGAGTAACGAGTAAAGTTGGAAATTCGTTATGTATGGACGAAAAATTGTGCTAAGTGAGCACAACTCAGCACAATTTATCGCATCTCGATATTTGAATGTTTACAAAAATTACAGCAATTTTTCTGAAAAATACTGTTTTTTCGGAATTTGCATATCTTGAAAACGGTTTGAGATATTGAGAAAAAATAAACGGCACAAGTTAGCACAAATCAAACAGGACCCAGCAATTAATTTTTTCGAAAATAATTTTTTCGAAATTCGAAAATTGCAATTCTGACATACTTTCGAAATTGTCGTTTTTTTCGGAATTGGTAAGAGATATCGAATAAATTTTAACGGCACAAATGGGCACAAACCGACTACGACTTAGCACAACTTTTATTTTTTCGAAAATTGCAATTCTCTCAGATTTTTTTCGAAAAAAAAATCTTTTTTCGAATATCTCAGAAATTTTTTCGAATTTCGAAAAAAAATTTCGGCACAATTGAGCACAAACCTAGCACAATTAAGCACAACTTTCCTTTTTTCGAAACTCGAAAATTGCAATTCCAACGGACACCACATGTTTTCTTCCGTCCACTTCCTTGACGTCGGGCAACGCTATTAGTATCACGGCAACGAGCGATGGTACAAGGCACAAAAGATTTATTCACATTTAAACGCTGAAGTGCTCTAACGATAGCCACTTGTGGTTTTCCAGCCAAACATAAAGAAATCACACAATCACGCCTGAATTCCATCCCGAATAACTTTTTTTTCGGGAATATTTTCACCAAAATTCTTCTGTACGCTTGTAAACAATATAATGAGCTGTTACTGGAATAATTTTAACAGCTGTCGGACGAGTGGCTTAGAAATGACAGCAGTCTGAAGTTGGTTGCAGTTTTTTCATCTCACCCTGTATATATAAAAGATAGTTGTGTTAGTTAGTTACTGAGCTTATAACGCAAGAACCGCTGATCTGATTTTAACGATTCAGACAAAATCGGAATCGTCTCTTGGCAGAAAAGGATAAAACCCAAAATAACCACGTAAAAATGTGAAATTTGAAAATTTTCATTTTCATATTGCGTGATTTTTTCATTTTGACTTACTATTTTCGAAAGTACATTCGTAGTGTTGTTTTTTATGCATTTATTGATTAAGCGGAACTATACGAATAATATCATTTCAGAAGATAACAAGCTATAAAAAACATCAATATTTCATCGTACACGAACGGTTTTTTTCAATTTGAATAACTTTATTTAATTGACCCGATTTCTTGAGAACTGAAGTTGAGGCGGATTACATTGAAGTGTAGTACCGAATAATGTGGTGGCGAAACTGAATAAATGATGTCGAAATAATTTAGCGCGGTCACACCAAAGTAAAGGGATAATTACTTTTCCAAAATCGCTAAAAAATTAAAAATAAAAAAGAGACTATCTCATTGCGAAAATTCGAAAATCGAAAAAAGTAGAGAAAAAATTTTGCAATGGAATCGAATTTCGAAATAATTGTACATTCCATTGACAATCTTCGTAAGGGCCTTTAAACATTTGCTGTTAACAAAATAAAAAAATATTTTCACCAAATAAAAAAAAAAGTTATGTTAGTTATTACGCTTATAACTCAAGAACGGCGGTAAAATTTTATAAACCTACTTCATTTCGTTCGGAAGCTAGGGTGATTTCCACAGACGAATAGACGGACATAACGCTTTGTTATGGGGCTCATTTCAAAACGTGGACCTACTTCTTTCACAAGACAATAATCCGTCCAATGAGAACTCAAAATGCAAAATTCATTGGGACTGCCATCAGAGAAATACCGAATATAAAGAGCGCAAAATAGTAGAGCGAATTGGACATTTAGTAAGAAAAGGATTTCTATCCTTTCAGAAATTCTTCTTAAACTTTCAAGATACCTTAAATCGTTTTTGCACGTCATGATATGGGCCACACCCGCGGATAAGAATACAACCCGATTTATAGTATATATTACATTTTTACCATATTTTTCATGCTAAACATCCTTGCAAAAATGATCACGCATAAAATTTTCAATTTTCGGAATAAGACTTCAAAAGAGCTTCAAAAAATATGCATTAAAGACTAAAGGTACGGGGCGGCAAGGCCAACCGGGCCAGCTAGTAATATATATTCTGTATATTGCTCTGTTTCAGAACTGCAAGAATGTAACAATTTTCTTTTGTCAATTCCATCGCTTATACCTCAAATCAAATGCACCAAATTTTAAGATTCGACCTATACGCTGGAGTCCTTTACATTTATTATGTTTATGCATGTTTTATGGTCGTTCAAACATTAAATTCGCTTCTTAATTATTTATTTTCCATTTCAGTTTATGCATTGCCGATTTGTTGTTCTGTGCTCTGGTTTTACCGTTCAGTGCCTATCGTTTCATTGAGGGAACCTGGGAGCCAAGAGATGTCCTATGCAAAATGATTCCATTCATCCAGTATGGAAACATTGGTGTTTCGCTTTTATGTATAACCATGATAACTATCAACAGGTATGTCTATGAACAGTGCAGTTTAAAAGTATCTGCTCATGCCCGATTGCGCCTTGCTGAGCAAAACGAGTAAAAATTGCAACATTTGTAGATTTTTTAGTCGTTCTGCAACAGAGCCAAGTTTTTCTCAGAAATCTCTTGAGGGAGAGAGAGAGAGGGTAATGTAATTCCTACTTACTCGGAGAAAAAGTAAACTTTCAAGTTCATTATACCCTCCACCACAAGGTGGTCAGGGTATTATGGTATTTGTTTGTAATAAGCAAAAGGAAACGAGATAATCCCATAGTTCCTTTTGATGATCTGCATAGAATCAGATTCTTAGTCGATTTATGCATGTTCGTCCGTCCGTCCGTCTGTCCATGTATTTTTGTAAACAAAGTACAGGTCCAGATGAAATTTTGCACAAATAATTTGTTTGGCCCAAGGACGAACCCTATTGAAATTTCAGATAATCGGTCAAAATTTAGATATAGCTACCATATATATCATCGTCCGATTTGCCTTTTATTGTGCACCAAACATGTAATATCACCCTAAATAGTATAGAATTTTGCACATATAACCAGATTAGGCCTGAAAATAAGTATGCCAAATTTTATCGAAATCGGTTCAGATATAGCTATAGCTCTTATATCAATTGTTCATCCGATTTGTTATTTTGTCCTACACTCTGTAACATAGATATTTGGGGAAATATATCAAATCCAACTCAGAAATACCTTTGCTAAATTTTATGGAGATCGGTTCAGATTTGAATATAGGTCCCATATATATCTTCGTCCGATTGTGCACCAAACTTGTAATATTAGAATAGAAATTGAGTCTAGAAACAAGTATGTCAAATTTGGTGAAAATCGGTTCAGATATAGCTATAGCTCCCATAAATATTGTTCATCCGATTTGCTGAACTTGTGCTGCACAGCCGCAATATGCACTCCGTAATAAAGATATTCGAGGAGTATATCATATACAGCTCAAAAATACCTTTGCCAAGTTTTATCGAGATCGGTCGAGATTTGGATATAGCTCCCTTATATATCTTTATCCGATTTCAAGTTAATTGTGCACCAAATGGCTAATACACGCTCGAATTGAAAAGGAACAAATGCCTCGGAAAATTTAATAGAAATTCATTCAGAGGAGGATATTCCTCTCATATATTGGTTCTTTTGGACTTTAAATTATAACTATAGTCAGAGTTGGTATGATTTAATTCTCACAAATTCCCCAAAACAACTTTCATTTGTTATGTGAAGCCTGCTAAATGTGTAAAGTGGTGTAGGGTATCATAAACACTTTCTTTACTGGTTTTTAATTTCGAATATGTATGTTTCACACAAGATCTCTGTTGCAAAATTACTATATTTTACGCAACTAACCCTACCCAGCCTCAAGATCGATTTATCAACAGATTTCTGAATTTATAATCAATAAAATTGCTCCGAAATGCAACATCCGGTACAATTTTCTATCACTTGCTGCAGAATACTAAATACACCGATCATCTTAACATTTTCAATATTTTCTCTCGTTTGCAGATACGTTATGATTGCCCACCACAATTCGTATGGAAAAATCTATAAACGCCATTGGATCGCTGCCATGATGGTGTTTTGCTGGGTATTCTCGTACGGCATGCAACTGCCCACTCTAGTCGGGGCTTGGGGTACATTTGCATATGATCCCAAACTGGGAACGTGCTCGATTCGTGAAGACGACCATGGTCACAGCAGCAAGACCACACTCTTCATAACCGCCTTCGTTATACCGTGCCTTATTATCATTGCATGCTACACCAAGATATTTTGGGTTGTACACAAATCGGAACAAAGACTCAAACGACATGCCAACAAACAGAACTCCATACCGAATAATCTGAGGCCGCCACCTTCGGTGGGTAGCAATGTCGAGACGGGCAATCTCCAGAGTAGGGTATCGTCCAGTAGCAGTTTTTCAACAGACGTAAAGCAGGAATCTGTGCAAAAGCAACCCACCACCCGCATCAAGGACCAGAGAGAGGTACGTGCCAAACGCAATGAATGGCGCATCACTAAGATGGTGTTGGCCATATTCCTAAGCTTCCTCATATGCTACCTGCCCATAACAATAGCCAAAGTTGCTGATCGGGATGTGGAACATCCCAATTTGCAGATACTCAGCTATATAATGCTGTACATGTCGGCCTGCATCAATCCCATCATCTACGTCATTATGAACAAGCAGTATCGCAAGGCATACAAAACGGTGATCATGTGCGAGCCGTCACGCTTATTGCCCTTTGGCAAACACGGCGCTGGTGCAAACGGCGCCGGTGGCAGTAGTGCTGCAGGTATGTGAAACTATTGCCATGGTTATGGAGCAAACATCTAAGTCACTCTCATTTGTTTTAGAGAAATGGAAAGATACCGGGTTGAGCAACAACCACAGTCGCACAATTGTCTCGCAAATGTCGGCAGCGGACCCGGCAAATACCAGCTGCAGCAGCTCCGCCCAAGTGCCAGCTATGGAATTGACACCATCCCAAAGAAGTTCTCTGGTGAGCGACAATACAGCAAATACGATGGACTCAACAATGACGGCGCAAGCGGTGTCAGTGCCAACATCTATCGACAGCGTGAACAAGGAGCCATTGAAAAACGAGATGACTCCCTCAACGGCCCCATTGAGTCTGCATTCGATCACCGACACTCAAAACAACAACAGCAACAGCAACGGCAACGGCATACAACGCAATGGCAGCAATACGGCACCACTGCGACCAATCAAAGAGATCAATCGCATAGCCCTAGTGGGCGGAGATATCATTTTGGAGGAGGAGGAAGAGGAGGACGAGGAGGTGGCGCAGACACTGGCAGTACAAGCACAGAAGGCGGCGATACCTGCTCCCCATACGGAGCCATTGATTACGGCGGTGGTGCCACCACAAGCAGCCGCAACATCAAGTCCAGCATCCATGACACGGCCCGCTCCAGTGTACGTGAACGCGAGTGTGTTGCACCAGAAGAAAAACCCATCTTACGGTCAGAACATAAACGTCACTCCAGATAGTAAAAACTCCAACAAACAACTACTCAAACTCTGAAAGACTCCATCTGAATGCTTTAATAACCAAATAAGTCACATTCCAATCGAAGCACATTCCATTGCGCACATTCCATACACTCCGATTACTAGTATTCCATTGTCCATACTCCAGGTTATCTCTTGTATATTTTCTCTGCTTCTTATTGTTAATCGATGACACACAAAGTGCTATAGTTTAAGTCGACAATGGAAAACACATCCCCAGGTCCTTCACAAGACAGTAGCAATATAGCGAATCTGTAAGAGTGCTAATGAATGAAACAAAAGTATTTTTTATATTTATATTTTCTATTTATTTATACATACATATAATTATTATTATTATTGTAATTATTGATCAAGACAAGATAAACCGAACCATCGAATTGTGCCTAAACAAACAACTCACTCGCATAATAAATGATATTTTGGTTGTCCTATCGAACGTTGCGGTGCCATCGAAGCATATATATAGAGATGTACGCCGAAGCGCTCACAGGTCAATCGAGTGCAATGTACATTTTTATCTTCTATTTGACCTGCTTTCTTTAAATGTGTATGATTTCTGAGTTGATATGTAATACTGTTTTTGTTAAATTTAGTTTAAATTTTAAAAGACAAAGTCATTCCAATGTTGCCTTTACATTTTTTTTACATCTAATATTACTACTCTTTACATATGTATGTATGTATGTGTACATGGATATTTACATACAATTAAGAATAAAACATGTACTCGATTAGATTTAAGTATACACCGAATAAACAACACCATTCCAAAGTTTAAAAATTTAAAGCAAAGTTTTTCTTTAATAACCAAAAGACATATTAAAGATCTGGTGATTGATGAGGGAAACGGCATTCAGGAAATAATCTGAGTTTATACAAACCATCCTTCTATTTATTGGAGAATCGTAGGTAAGTGTAAGAAGTCATTTAATTTCATTAGTCCTTATTGCCTCAGACTAGGCAATTTCACATGCGGCAATTTTTATCTCGTAAACTCGGCTTAGGTGAAATCAATTTAAAAATCAAAGTACCATTTTGGTACTGACCCGCAGTAATGTCGATGGAATCACTACTTGTTGCGTGCCTTAAGAAACTTTATGACTTATGGTTACGCATATATAGTTGTTATTACTCGTCAAACATGCAGCTACATGTGAAAAAGGCACGTACAACAAGTAAGCAAAGGCTATAGTCGTGCGGAGCCGACCATGTGATACCCTAAAACACTGCAATATGTTAGAAGCCAATGAACCAATGGTTATCCAAAATGCTAGAATTCTTCCCTGTTCTTAACTCTCTTCAATTGTGTGAGCAGGACATTTTTTCTGTTTTTGGTTCATTTGAACCCCTAAATATTTTGCGATCAACTCCAAAAGCAAGAGGCCCCTCTGTATCACCAAATTTAAACTCATCTATATTATTTGCTTGTCTACGATATTTAGCTTTATTCATCAACGAAATCAGCATTAAAAAGCCAGAAGTTCACCTTTTGCGTATTTCGGATATCGCCTATGAGTAATGTTGGTATTTTTACACACAAAAGTAGTGGTCCATTCTACCCGCTGTCCTAAACTCTAACTTCATGCGAGATTTCATGCGGCAGCAAAATCAGGAACATTTTTAGTTGTTGGTCCATTTCAACCCCTAAATACATTGCGGACATCTTTGAAAACAATAGACCTGTCCATTCTGAGCCTAGCCCTACCCTACTTCGTGAGGATAATTGCAATCTGTATATAATAACAAAATGTACAATTTAATATTATAAATCAAATTGAAAAAATCGCATGCGATAAAAAATATAAAAATGTCACAAAATACTACAAAATCTATATTAACATCATTATAGATATCTTTTTATGTGATTTTTTTTAGATTTTATACTTTTATGTAAAGAGAGCATCTGAATTGACAAAATTTGTCGAAATCGGTCTTGCCATTCTTGACATGGACAGATATAAGCATTCTAGTTAACATCCCCTTCCTTTCTATATATACATCCTATATATTTACTATCGGCATCTACGTAACGGCCAGAGTTGACCTGATCGTCTATTTCGCGGTTTAATAGAAAATTTGAATTTTATATAACACAAATGTTATGGTCTATTTCACCCACTAAATATTACCCGATGACCATCAAAATTGAAAGGCTTCTACCCAGCCCTAAGCTCTAGCCCCATGCTAACTTCCGCTTCGATTGATCTATAATTGCGACCTGTAGAGCAGCTGCAAAATCATGAAATTTTTCAGTTTTTGGTCCATTTCAACTCCTAAATATTATGCGATTATCTTCAAAAACAATAGGGTTCTATTCTGACCCTACCCCCACCTTCATTCTAAATTTCGTGCCCATAATTGCGACCTGTAGAGTGATTACAAATTAACATGGACAGACGGACGGACGGACATAAATAGCTAGATCGCCTCAGCTCGGCGAGATAGGAAGATCCATATATACTTTCCTATGTGGGATGTGCGTGAAGATAAAAACGATTTTAACTCTCGAATACAACGCTTAGTCTGGCAACACTTTCTGTTGTATAACAGTGTATAACAGATATGCGGAAAATAAAAACGATTTTTGTAGAGGTGAAATAAAAACGATTTTTGAAGATACGAAACAAAAATGCATTTTTTTTTAAATTTGTAGTTATTCTTGTTTGTACCTGATAATGAACATAATTATAAATATAAAAATATAAAATAACTAATTTAAAGGTTTTTCAATAAAAAAAACCATCGTCATCATACCGATTATTTTTTAATGGAAGAAAATTACATAGCCCACTGTGCAGCAATAAAAAATAGTGCACGCATATAAATGGTACTGCAGGAAAGGCCGTTCCAAGAGATTTCCAAAACGCTTTTACTTGGCCAAATCGATCGTGGAAAATTAGAGAAAAAATGATTTTTCTTATTTTTCAAAAGTTATCAACGAGTCCCACTGTGCGAAAACTCATGGAATAGCACGTTGGAAAGCCCATGAGGTGTACTTTCAAGATATAAACACTCCTGAAAGATTAATCGTGCAGATTTTTTTAAAAAAATATTTTTCCTAAAATCAAGTGTTTCCTAGAGGGAAACATAAAATGGCCTACTGTGCAGCAATACAAAATAGGGCACGCATGTGAATGGCACCGCAGGAGAGGTCGTTCCAAGAGCTTTCTAAAACGCTGTTACTTGGCAAAATCGATCTTGTAAAATTAGAGAAAAATTGATTTTTCTTATTTTTAAAAGTTGTCATCGAGTCCCACTGTGCGAATAATGGAAATAGTGCAAGCTCATGGAATAGCACGTTGGAAAGCCCATGAGGTGTACTTTCAAGATATAAACACTCCTGAAATAGTAATCGGGCAGATTTTTTTTTTTTTTTTTTTTTTTTTTTTTTGTAAATGTTTTTCCTAAAATCAAGTTTTTTCTAGAGAGAAACATAAAATGGCCCTCTGTGCAGCAATAAAAAATAGTGCACGCATATGAATGTCACTGCAGGAGAGGTCGTTCCAAGAGCTTTCTAAAACGCTATTACTTGGCAAAATCGATAGTGAAAAATTAGAGAAAAATTGATTTTTCTTATTTTTCAAAAGTTATCAACGAGTCCTAAGAGGCACTGCAGGGAAGGTCGTTTTAAGAACTTTCTTAAATGCTATTACTTGGCCAAATCGATGATGAAAAATTAGAGAAAAATTAATTTTTCTTAGTTTTCAAAAGTTAACAACGAGTCCCACTGTGCGAAAACTAAAAGTAGTGCAAGCTAATGGAATACCACGTTGGAAAGCCCATGAGGTGTACTTTCAATATATAAACACTCCTGAAAGATTATTCGGGCAGATTTTTTTTTAAAAATTATTTTTCCTAAAATCAAGTGTTTTCTAGAGGGAAACATAAACGGCCCACTGTGCAGCAATAAAAAAATTGTGCACGCATATGAATGGCACTGCAGGAAAGGTCGTTCTAAAACGCTATTACTTACGATTAATCTTTCAGGAGTTTATATATTGAAAGTACACCTCATGGGCTTTCCAACGTGCTATTCCATGAGCTTGCACTATTTTTAGTTTTCGCACAGTGGGACTCGATGATAACTTTTGAAAAATAAGAAAAGTCAATCTTTCTCTAATTTTCCACGATCGATATGGCCAGATAATAGCGTTTTGGAAAGCCCTTGGAACAACCTTTCCTGAAAATTTTCCAAACCATTCAATATTTTATCCAAAACAATAGGAATGTTCGTTTACTTGATAATTTGTACAAATTTTTACTTGACGCTGTTCGTTTAACCATAGACAAATAAAGGTATAGACTAAAAAGTTTTAAAATTTTCCCTTCCGGCAGATGTCACTATTGTTGATCTTGGGCCAGTCATTTTTCACGACATATTTGGATAATGTAAAAGTAAACAAAGTCGATGTGTCGTTTTTAATTGATAAATAATAAAGAATCATAAAAATATTTAATATTTTGTATTTTGAGAGAATTGAGTGAGTCTACTGAACCTCTCTCACAGCATGAACGACATCTATTGAAGCCCTTTTTTCAGAGATAACAGATGAGACAACTTTTTAGTCTATACCTAATTTGTCTATGGTTTAACGAAAAGTCCAGTAAGTGAGAGCGAAATGGGAAAGACTTGTTGACATTTATAGTTAAAAGAAAAAGCATTTAAATTTATTAAAGAAAATGGATAAATAAAAAGTTAGTAAAGGTGTTCAATTAGGTGTCAAGTCTATCTAAAAAAAATTGTGGATCCGTGAAACACCATAGCCCATGGAGATGCTGGAATTATAGGTATTTGTATCTTTGTGAATGGAAGCGATTTATTTTTTATTATTTATTTTTTTGTAATAAAAATGTAAAAACAAATAAACTCCATCAAAATATATCTACTGTTGATATTTGCGCCAAAGTTGTTTACATGAAACAGCTGTTATCTTGCAAAATTTTTGCACAATGCTGTTCGTTTACTTTTTGCAAAGTTTTTCTCTCGAGAGAGACGAAATCGTTTTTTTTTTTTTCTTTTTCTCAGTAATTTCATACTCAATTAATGTTACTGGGGAAAAGAATCGAACGAACCTAATACATTCAGAGACTTTTTATATGTTTTGAACTAATACATTAATCAGTTGGCTTGGCATTGTATTGTGAGAAGCCGTATACAACATTTTTGTTGCGACAGTGGAGTCTTCTCATAATCGAAGTTTGTGTTTCCCAGCCGGGATCATTGCCAGCTGATATCGTCGAATACGTAGTTTCTTTGTTTGAAGTGGTTAACGTCTGGTGATGCAGAAGTCGTAATATGCACACCTAATATTTAATATCGTTGATGAAATCGAATATCCATACAATGTCTTCGTCCAGCCAGTGTCCAATTTGTGTGGAATCGTATGACGATCCAAACAATATTTGTAGTACAATATGCGGCCATGTCTTTCACAATTCATGCCTATTAGAATGGCTGGAACAGTAAGTACTTTCAATATTTCCTGGAATTCTGCTAATAAACTCTTCTTTAGCTCAGATACATGTCCTATGTGCAATAGAAGAAATCCAGCACCCCACCGAATTTTTATCGATCTCAGAGTCGATCAAAACAATTCAAATGAAAAGCCAGCCAAGTTGGTGATTAAAGGAATTCCACCACTACTACTGGAAGCTCCGTTTTTCAAACCCGTATTGGAATTGATGAGCGTAATGCAAGTACATATTAGCGAATCAGACATAAAGACAGTTACAAGAATAGCCAATACACTGCATGTGACCTTCCGGCAGGTCGAACATATGGAAGCGGTACTGAAAAATAAGCACAAACTGAAGAAGAATCCAACTACATCAGCCATAGTTATCCATGAAGTTGTCGATCCTGAGGTAAAGGCTTTATTCCAATACAGCCACAAATTGAAGAGGATAGGCTATAAAATCTTTTTCATCAGAGATAATAAAGTATTTGTTAAGAAAGAACAAACTGACAGTGAAATTGAAATATCTTCCAAAGAGACAGTGAACAGAATTTACGATGGCAACAGATGGAACACACCAAGCGCGCCTTCGTTATATGCTATATCAAGTTCGACTTCTAACCAAATTCCTGTTGAATATAATAATGAGGTCCATCGATATATTAATGATAGTGATTAAAATTGTCTAGTTTTAAGAGTTTGATTATCCATTACAGTATACCATAACGTTTTATATTTAACTCGTTGACATTTAGAAAGCATTCATAAACTGAGGGAATGTAGAAATGCTCGTACAATTGCATTTATAACAAACATTTATGTGTAGCTTATTTGTTTATATGCGTGGAACTATCAAATATGTGGTAGGAGCTAAAAAAAAATACACGTGTTTTCCGAAACGAGTAATTTTTGGATAGTATAACAGGTAGATATGGCTGCATATGGTCATATATTTTACTGAACTCTATGTTACGAAGAGATATGTACTATTTTTATTACACATATGAGTAAACCATTGACCAAACCATTTCTAAAATAAAATCAATTAATTCTTTAAAAATATCCAACAAGGAACTATTTCCTGATGATAAACTTTTAGAATCGATAATTTGTAAATAAAATGAATATAAATTACAATCAATGAGTTTCAATATTTGATTTGGAAGTTCTGTGTAAAAAGAAATGCAAGTGCAAATATTTTTTTTTTCAACTAATAATGGTTGTAGTCTTTTGCATATAAACAGGAATATACTTCCTTATATTAAAAAAAAAATTGGTGTTCATAAAGTCTCTTTTGAAAGGAAAATACGAAAAGTAAACAGACGGTATTCCTGCAGAAGCTTGCAACTAATCAACTGATTTTTCAAAACAAACCAATTTGTCCCCCAATAAAAGAAAGGAGCACCACCAATTTTGCAAGTTTTTTAAAAAGGAAATTAGCAATAAAATAAAGATAGATCTGATGTGTTCCCCAAAATCCTTTAAACAAGTCGCTAATGGCTAATTTGTCATAAAATGTTGGACATTTTCTTATTACATATTAATATTTACGTTTTTCACGTTTTGTAAAGCAATTAGTCTTGCTAATTCAAAAAAAAAAAAAAACAAAATATTTTCAAATTGAAAACACAAAAAGAAATAAACAAACATTAGAAAACATCTGATTGAATGACGGTGAATGAGAAGAGTTGAAATTGAAAGATTCCTAATTCATTCGTCCTCTTATTCCTCTAATGTTGCCATATTTACTTAAATAATGAGATTTTCGTACATCACCAAATCGAACGAGATCTGAAGGCGCTAGAATAATCGATTTTGAATTACGGAATTCCAACCATTCCGATTGGATTTTGTAATATCCCTGTTCGTTTGGCTTCGTGTTTTCCTCATTTAAGAATGTGTGCACTTAGGGCATAGTTTTTAAAACAATAATTTTGTTCAAAAGCCCTAGAAACTTTCCAACAAATAGGGTCCGCACCAAAATTACTTACATCGCTTTAATAATAATGAAGCCTTATTCCCCTTAGTCTCATTTAATGAAATAGAGGCATGCGAAGGAAAGCATCTGCGCTAATTGTCAAAAATTTATATCCGATGTAAAGCTCAGGCACGTTTAGCGTTCAATATTTCTTTGGTAACAATGATGCCACAGTCTCATACATATTTTCCATAATCGGTTATTAAGAAATCAGCTTGTGGGAGGAGCCACACCCCGGAATTTCTAACAAAATTATGCCCTATGTTACTTTCGGACACTCCAGTACCATAATGTTACTATATTCCCTACAAACGTAAATATGAATTTAAATTGAAACAAATTTCAAAAAATTTAAAATAACAGCTCTGTTCCGAAACCTGCAAGAGAATCTCATATCATTTTTTCTGCTGCCTATTTTGTAAATAATTAACAATGGTAGTGTTTTTGAAAAATTTTATAACTTTAAAAGCAAAATATTTTCCAAGAAATGTTAAATAAACAATTGCGTTATTGTCGTACTGATAAAAACGGCCTTAGTGGATATCGGAACAAATTTTTAAAGGATGGACATAAAAAATGTTCAGACATGAAACCTTTTTAACTGGTTTAATTTCAATTAGCGGCTGCATACCTACACGGAGTTTGTAAAATAAAAAGACAACATGTAATTGACCATTGGTATAAATATTTATTCCAAGTTAAAACTTCTGCAAGTAGTGACAGACTTAGAACTAAATACACACTGATATGTGCATATTTTCCATGACACGATGTACCCCGGGGGTCATTGGCTACTCATAAGAGAACATACATGTGTAACATATACGTAGATGCGAACATATTCATTTATACAAAACACTGCAGTGTCTGCATGGAAAGAATTCATTTTGATTTCTTTAAAACATTTACGTGGGTCTGTGATTTAATGTGTATTGGCTCGCTAGATCTTGTCTCCTTTGCATACACGCAATTGTTTCTCCAATATACCGAATTGTAGCCATATTGTGATTTCAGAACTTTCGCAAATTGGTACAAGTCGTATACCTCTTCGCTAACAAAATCTGTAATTTCTATATTTTTTGCGGAATCGTTGGTCTTAAGTCTTTCCTTGTGTTTCAGAAAGTCCACTTTGAGTTCTTGGTTATTGAACTCTACGATCAGTATGATCTTATCTGGTTGCATATTCTGGCGTTCGTAAAATTTTCTTTCCTTTATTGTAGTTCGTTTTACGTCCGTCTTGGACAACTTTATTTCCATAATTTTGCCAAGTTTTATTATGGTTTTTTTGTAATCATCAGAATCCATTTGCGCTCTCGGCAGATTCTTTACAAGTACACTATTTGCATTGTTTGTATTTGAGGAGGAAATTGCTTGCTGAGCATTCTGCTTGATGGTGTTAGTATTATTTTTTGAAGACTCGTCGTCTGCATCTACATGATTTAAAGCCCTGCCCCTTTCTAGTTGATCGATTGTGGCTTCCAATTTTTTATTTTTTTCCATGAGATCAGCATTTTTGTTACGTAGCTGTTCATTCAATTTGTTAAGTTCCTTTGTTTGACTTAGCAATTCATGAATTCGTATTTGGACTCCGAAAAGATCCTCCTGTACATCGATGTACTTTGTATCCAGTTCTTTGTGTGATTTCTCCAAATCAGCATATTTTTTCAATTTATCCTCCAGCTCCAATATATAAACTTGTATTTTTGGATCGGTCCCCTGAATCAATTCAGTCGATGGTCTTGTTGCGGCTATTTCGTCTTCCATTGTATTCAGAACCTGTGCAACAGAACTCTTTTATTCAATAAATAAATTTTCAAGTTTCTATAAAAAAAAAATCTGATATTAGCGCTTTAAAGCTTTGCACAAAGCTGCCATATGTAAAGAATTTGCTCAAAAATGGATGGATGGGTGTTCACTCGAATAGGATTGCGAAGGTTTAAGTTGTCCAATAATTAATTTCGTAATTTTTTTTTACAAAAATTATGAAGGTATTTGAAAAATTATAGATTGTATGTGTATGACGGGGAATTTATATATGAACTATTTGTATACCCTCCATCATTCTATGAAGGGTATATAAGCTTTGCCATTCCGTTTGTAACTCCTCGAAGTATATATATTCTGGATCAACGTCTTGGACGATCTAGCGATGTCCGTCTATGCAGGTCTACGTCTTCGTATAGTCCCCATTTTTTTAAGTGGTAGTTATCGGAATTTTTAATTCCTTTTAAATGGTGGAGGGTATTAGTTGTTGCTTTTTAGTTGTTACACATCAAATTTTTGTTAGCGGTTTTGCAGGACTATATTCTTCAAAAGTTTTATTAACATTTTATAATTTTATTTTACAAATTTTTGATAAAGTTTAAATTTTTTGGGGTTTCCGCAATTATCAAATAAAATACAAAAAAAAAAATAATGTATATGGAACCTCAGACATATCAAAGCCTTTCGCAAATGGACGAGAGATTTTAAAATATTTAAAAAAAAACCTTTATTAAAATCAATACGTCTAAATACGAACGATTCGAGTAAAAGTAACTTTGTTTGTTTGAGCATTAATTAAAAAAAACATACTTGATTCCCCACACAAAATTTTCTGAGCGAACAAATCATGTCAACCTCTGAACGGCATTTTATAAGAAAATATTTTTTAAACCATTTATTTTTGCAGATATTTTCAAATATGTTTGATATATCAATGTTCGCGAGTGTAGATGCATCCATCGTACAATAAAAAGGTAAGGTAGAGCTAACAGCTGCTTATAATTTTTTCCTAAGTGTGCCCGACTTTTGCCAATTTATGTATGTATTAATTGTTTTGAAAAATGAAAAAAACTATTTTCAAAACCAATGATTGGAAGACACACGAATTGCGGCTTGCGCATTAAAGCTATTAACCAGTATATCCATGAAATTGAAAGATTGAACAGTTAGGATCATATTTTTGAGAGAAAAATCTAGACATTTTATTCACTTTTCGCGGTATTTAACTCATTTTAAAAATTAGGAAAAATATGAAAACAATAATTTTGAATGAGTCTGACAGGAAGCGGGCATAACATCAGGGCTGTATTTTTGTAGTTTTACGAAGCTGTTCTACCTCCTTATTGTACCATGGATACATCTACCTGTATTCTTCTACAATGGCCCATATGGGGAATTCCCCGTAAAGAACAATAACATTCATAAAAAGCTTTTTATTTAAGAAAAGTAATGTTGCCATATCAAACACAATGGTTGCCATCAAGGCCTATATAAGGTCGGCCAGTAAGACCATCTGACGACCAAGTTTTCTGTCAAAATACATTTTAAATTCTTCCTATGACTACAACAACCAAATTGTGACAAAAACTTTTCGAAATAATTTAAATTATTAAAGGAATTTGAAGAGAAATCTATATAAATTATGAATAAATAGGAATTTGAAAATGAGACTTTGCCAAATATGTATGCAGAAAGAAGGAGGTTCCAGGAAGGGGTACATTTTTTTCGATCCCAAAGGATGACGTGTCGTGAGCAGAATGGACTAACGTTTGTCAGGTAGAATTTAAAGCAACGTCTTCTGTATGCTCTGAAAACTTCGACGTTGTTCATGTGGTGAAATCTGGAAGAGAATATTGTCGCGAAAATATTCAGGAGGGTGTATTAAAGCCTTGGCCACGCAAACGCTTTGGCCGCAGACCTTGGACATTCCAACAGGACTCATTATGGCGTTTAATTTTTTTGCAGTTTTTATCTCACCCTTTATGAATAATTGATAGGTATATCATTTGATACGGCCAAGACGTGTCTCATCGAAACAATGGTTCGAGACCCTAGGCCTCTTTGGACCAAATCTGTTTCAGGACATTTGGAATCGATCTAGAGGCGTCTGTCCGTCCATCCATTTGATGCACACGATAACGATAACGATCGAGTTCTTAGATGAGCAGTATTAGTCCAATCCTACTTGTACCTACCTCAAAAAGGTCAACAATATCAAAGAAATTAATTTACCTAATACATAAAAAACAGGTCATCCAATTTTGTTCAAACTCTGTGCATCTAAATAACCATATCAGGGCTAGGACGATATCAGTCCACTCTCTCAAGTTCCTCTCCCACAAAGGGCCAAAATGTTGAATAATTTTATCTATCATAAAATGCATAATTATCAAAC